AATGAGTCTTTAAAGGTATAAATAGATGATGTTCAAGCTTTTTTTAGTGACTTATTCAATACAATTCAATTTGTATAAATTTTTGAAATATGAATTTGTTATTTCATCTCTATTTTTCAAATTCAATTAAGATTTAATTATCAAAGTAGGATAACATATTGTTCAACAAGAAAGAAATTCAACGCACTCATCTTTTACATTTTTAAATCTGTTTCCGTGTGTGTGTGTCAGGTTTTTCGGTAATAAATATACTTTCTTTCGTTTCTTAACGGTTAAAAGACGGTAAAAATTTCACGCCATTTAATAGACTCATCAAATGAATGAAACAGATATTTATTTATGTAAACACTACCAGCTCATTTGATCTTCATTTTTATTTTAACGAAACATCTTTCATGTTACTATCAATAAATATGTTGTAACTCTGCACGGTATAGATTTATATATTTGTTCACCTTCCCTTTCTCCCTCTCTCTCTTTCTCTCTTTCTCTCTCACTTGATACATAAAATGTTTTTCTCTTTCTTTTTTTCGTTGAACCAATCCATTTTCGATTCGATTTAAAATTATATTGAACATAGTTTCTTATTTATACACACATATATACATAAAAATAGACCAAATATTTTTTAACTATTGCATAAATTATAAAAATTAATGAAACTTAATTTGACATTAAAATTTTCAACGATGGTACTACTTCCTCTACCTACAAATAATCCGGTAATAGAAAAGATTTATTTGATATACTTACAAATTTTGTTTATATTGATGAAGCGTAGCACATTCAAAGCCAAAAAAGAATTGGTTTTTATCGGTTATATACCATACAAATGCGAAACCATAAGTTTTTTATTTATATGAAAAAAGAATAACCGAGAATCATGTTACAACTTAATGAACAAGTCTTAGAAATGCTGTTAACTATAAACATATTTTATTAGATATGTCCGCTATCTATCTTACTGGTAGTATTCATAATGCAACATCGAGCAGAAAATAATGAAAAAAAAAACGAAGAAAAAAATAATTGATTTAAAAATATGTATCATATGTACATCATAAGAGCAAGTGTACAATATCAGTAACGCATATTGAAGATAAGTCGGGCGTTTTCTTCTTATTATTAACGAAGATTGAAAACTGAAATAAAAAACTCGTTTCTTCATATTTGATTGATGCCGAGAGAGAATCTGGTTACAAAACTGAATAATTTACAGTGATCGAACGTGTTTTTTTTCAGCTGTTTTCGAATAGATGCTGAATGAAAATGAGAGAGAATAATGAGTAAGACAAATTGAATCATGGATGACGATTGAGCCGTTTTTGTCATTTGATATAGAAATCGTTTCCTTGTCTTTCTGTTTGAATCACTGTTAACTTAATACTCATTTTTGCCCTTTAGAAACACATCTAAAGGAGTCTAACTTTCATCAACTAATCTTAATATTGAGGTTGAGATCTCTTTTTAGTGAGATTTTCATTTTGAATTAGAATCTTTAAAGTAGGAGATATTTCTATTTCATAAAAATGAAACCAGGAACATAAAGAAATGAAAAAAGATCACGACAGCTTTAGATTTTAAATGTTTTCAATTAAATAACTAATCTTATTGTATCCTGAGGCTAAAACGGATTTCGATTAGAGAGTAGGAAAATTAATCATTTCTGATTAGTTCAGGTGACCCACAGATACGATGAATATATCTATCGCATGCATTTCTCTCACTACTACTCATTAATGATCACTGTATGCTGACTGGCGCTATGAACTAACATACAAATCATATTTTTTTGTTTCTAAAACGACTAAGTTATTTTTGCTAAATATTCTTTCGTATCTGTGGATTTTAGACACGAGAAAATAAATAATGAGGATCATAGTTTATTTGACGTCAGTAAATAACATTGACTTTTCAGAGTCAAAATCGATTCTTCTTTTTTCGAATCTATCCTACTCTGGACAATGAACAGATAAAAATTATGTTTGATGATACTTGATGTCTGTCCGTTTGTACTTATTGTATAATCATTATAACTTTAGATAATAATTTCAAATTGTTGAATTAAAATAGTCATTTATTTATGAAATGTTTTCAACTGATTCACTCTCATTAGTGTCCTCTGAGTTTATTTACACTTCGTTTTTTGTTTATTAGTGAAATGTGCGTAAAGGTAATATATGCGTTTGTTTCTTACTTCAAAAAAAAGAAACAAATATGAAATGGATGGGTATTTTAAAAAAGTGACTTGTCAATTGAAAATGTCACACGTTAATACACAGCGATTACGATCTGTTTGTCCTGTATTGTTTTTTATTTTATTTTTATTTTTTATATTCTTTATAAAAGAGTTCTGACTGAGTGACACACTTTTGAATAGAAAAATGAAACAACTTTCACTTACACATATTTTGCTTCTAGCAATTTAGATAGAAAATATGATAACTAAAAGTGAGGTAATAAGCATCATCTTCTTTTTTCTTCTTCTATCTATTCTAAACTAAATGTGTCTATACTGTAGAAAAGAGAGCGACAGAATAAAAGAAAAAGGTGAAAACAATTGTTTCTCTAATAACCCAAATAAAGATATCACCGCGCGTGACATTCTGTCAAGCTTCATTAAACATTGTCTAATCTCTTTAAAACTAGAAAAAGACATTAGATATAACAGAAGCAGGTATGCCGTCATATTCTGGATAATATCTTCATGACATAACAAAGAAACCAGTAGATGATCATTCGAGAGAGAAAACGACGTGGTTCAAAGAAAAATAAATTTTTTTCGAAAATAACAAGGAAAGTTGAGTTAAGAAACGAAAAAATGCACAAACTGTTAGTATTTATCAAACAACATCAGCAAATGTCATCAGATTTTAGTTCACATAACTATGATATGTGGTTGGGACGATATTCTGAGTCTTTTCCATGTCAATTTTTTACTACATTTTTCAGGGCGATCCAATCGAGACGTATCCCTTGCTCGTTATGATTTTGTCAGAGTAAATAGTCCGCACTTAAGAATAAATTTTTTATTCCGTAATTTATGTGTCCATCCTCTACTTCAAAAAACTCACGAAGCATTCCTGGCTTTTTGTACATAAACAAGAAATCCATCGGTTATAATAATCGGTTATAATTTTGATATCAGTAATAGTTTAGTGCGTAGTCAAAACTTATTCACTTGATTCACCATCTTCCTAAAATACATCGAAGAGAAAATACTATTTGAAAAAATGTTAACATTTAAAAAACGTTTTAGATTTTTTTCTTCTATTCCCGTTCAATCGGTACTTCGTATGTATTTTTCTATTATCCCGGATGATGATCTAAACAGTAGCTACAGTAAAAGTGAAACGACCAATCGATAAGATAACTGCTAAATAACTGTTAAAATAAGTAATTAGGAAATACGCTAAAGTGGAGTAAGAATCGTCAAAATCTTAACCGAAATCATAAATGAAAGAAAGTTTTTAAATGTTCGAAAAGGATATGATTCAAGACAAGGTCACTATTGTAATGGTAACTGCCTCTTTCATTCTATAAACGAGATTTTCATGGTTATACCTCTTACTAACTTACTTTTCTTTAGTTGTTTAAAAAATTCAAATGGCAGCTATTTTTACCCATTTGAGTTTATTTTTGGTCTAATTTTCAGGGAGTACATCTCTTTTACATAAGAAATCATGAAAAAGACTTTTGTTTTCTTATTCTTTATTTTTTGAAGATAACTCTCACCTGTCATGGAACTAAGTTCATTCTTTAATCGATAAAAGTTGACCAATATACTAATTGTCTTTCCGAAAACACGACTATACATATATGTGTATGTGCAGCACTTCAGACATGTTTTTTAGCTTCCGGTAAAATACAATCGTTTCTTTTTTTTTGTTGAACTTTCTATGCGAACAAAAAAGAGAGAATCTGTCTAAACGTATTATTTTATAGGAAAGCGGATATTAGTTTAGTCCTAAGTACAAAACATTTTTTTTACTAAGAAATAATAGGAAAAAAAGAAAACGTTTGTAAAGTCGGAACTGATGTACTCAGAGGATTCGGTATTAAAAAAAAAAAAAGAAAAGAAAGAAAAAAGAAGAGGAAAAAAAAGAAGAAGACGCATGGCGTCCATCATCCACTATCATTATCTCTATAAAAAATTCAATCATCCGAAATAGATAGAAAAGTGGAATTGTTACATTTTAATAAACCTAATAATTCTTTTTTCCCGCTCCCCCACGATTTACTAGCTAAAAGAAGGTTCGCTTTAACCTCTAAAGAAAGAAAAAGAAAGAGAAAAAAAAAGAAGAAAAAATAAAAATGTTGACTAGTTCACCAATCGAATTAAACACGGTAGAATATTGCCGATTGGCTTGCTTGAAGAACAAAAAAGCCTTAGGGCATGATTGGCTGAAAAGACGAACACAAAAAAAGAAAAGAGTGAACGAACGAAGATAATATCGTTTTTACTTGTTTTTGTCAAAAGACATTTATATTATTTATCGAACCAAAAGAAGAAAAAACAAAAAAAATGACGTAATTTTTTTATCTATTGAAACTAGAAAAAAAAAAAAATCTAAAATTCAATATTATTCATTGTTATTGCACGTGTTTCAGTTTTAACAGCAAAAACAAAATAAATATACAATTGTGTTATTTTTTCCGCTCTATCAAGGAACTCTTAAAATATTTAAACGTATTCTTGAGAAGGTAAAATATCGCCTCCTCGAGCCATTATTATTATTTTATTATTATTATTACTATAAAAAAAAACTAAAAAAAATTAGCCTATAGGCTAACGATAAAGAAAAAGAAGGAAAAAGAAGACGGAAATTGGACTGTTTATGTACACATACACATAACCTCACGATTTTTTGTTTTGTTACACTGCTTCAAAGAAAGAAAACATTTTTTTTTTGTTGTTTCTTTACACAATCGATACGTTTTTTTAAATTATCAACATAACCGCTGGGCGAGTGTGCGTAATTCCATTTGTGTATAAACTTATGCCATCTGCATTTGATCTAATTGATTCTGGCGGATCGACAGGACCAACAACTTCATCATCATCGGTTGACGTAAGTTTCTCTTTTGTTATCTTTCTAACTTATTTCCAAACAATAGTATTTAAATATGCATGCGTATGTACGCGGAACTAGACGTGTGTACGGTGCCCTTGGGCCAAAATAATCTTTCTCTCTCTTTCATTTTTTCATAATTTATTTAATAAATGTTCAACTCAGGTTATGTTTCTCTCTATAATATGGCAAACAATGGATTCTGCTTTTTTCTCTCTTCTTATAATTAAAGTTTTTTATATTTTGAAGATGCCACTTATTAGAATCTGATAGACAAGAGACAGAGAGGTAAAAGGTTACAATATACTGAAAAATATGATCTTTTTTGTTGCTAGTAGTTTAAGCTAGAGAGATTGATATTCCTAAAGGTAATACTGTAACACTTTTTTGTGGTAGTTAAGTTTGTAACTGTATGCATATACTTATAGCTTAATAAAACAACGAGTGAAAGTATTTTCTTTGTTACAATTAGTATAAAAATTTGAATGTTGTTAAATCAACTTAGCAAGGATGGAAAAAAAAATGTTTCCAATCTAGAGAAAGCTATTCTTTTGACAATGTTTATATTGTGGTTATAATAAAGCCAGATTGACACTTATAGTTTTTTTTCTTCTTTAAATATATTTCATTATTTATAAACAAAACAAAGAAGGTTAGAGCTGTGAAAGAGTTTTTTTTATACCATTCAACATATCTATCATTTGTTTAATGAAATAATGGAATCTTCGTTGTTACAGGCAGACAAATATGGTTCATCTCCAACTTCATCGTCATCATCATCTGCCGGTATTCCAACATTTAGTTCGAATAATCAACGTCTTTCTCATCCTTATGAAAATCCACCATACTTTCCACCACCATTTAATCCGGCGTTTACACAATTTGATGTTCAAATGGCAGCCGTGGCTGCAGCATCAGTTGGTAATGATCCTTATTCATCACCATTTAGTGGTCACAATGGTTATCCGTCGAATACTTATGCTCAACAAACTCATCATTACCATCATGCTCATCATGCCCACCATCCACGCACAGCATCCTCATCTTCATCGTCACTTGATCCATTATCAATGACAACATCATTCAATCCGTATGACACACGTTCTTATGATCCCTATAATCAATATTCGTACAGTCGTCATTCGATGCTTGATGCACACGAATTATATAGCAGAAATAATACAGTGGTCGGCGATAATGGAACTTCAAGTTTAAGAGTAAGTAGAGAAGAAAGAACGTGTATACTTTAGAACGATAAGTTTGTTGATCTCATCCAATCATGCGCATGAAAGACCAGTTTGTTCTTATCTAAGAATATACGGAGAGAGAGAGAGTTCCTTTTACATTTTTAATACTTGATGCGTGATTGATTTCAAGTAGCTTGTTTGTCTACACAATACAATAAAATACACTGTCAATATACACACTGATTTCTCTATGTCATTACAAGTTCTATTATTTGTTCACTTTTTATGCCAATTGACACACACAAAAAAAAAAAATCATTGCTTGAATTGAAACACACTCGGTAGAAAGAAAGAGTACAAAAAGTAAAATAAATTTAAGTGTTTAATATTATCGATTGATAAATTTTAGATATTGAATGGTGATGGCAATATTAATGTGCCGGAACAGTATAGATCTTCAACAAGTCGTGGTAAGTATTCTGAAATTTCACTCATTTTATCATCAAGTCTTATAGTTGTTTTTATTATTATTGTTTGTTTGTTTGTTACTAGATGGAAGACGATCAGACACACCAAGAGAAAGTGGTTCATTTACATCGCCATCGATGTCTTGTGGTGGTCAAGCATCACCAACAGATTTATTTTGTAGTGTACCAGGACGATTAGCATTATTAAGTTCAACTTCAAAATACAAAGTAACTGTTGGAGAAGTGCAACGACGATTAGCACCGCCTGAATGTCTAAATGCATCGCTACTTGGTGGTGTATTACGGAGGTAAAATACTATGTTTTATTTTACTAAGAACAAGGATTTAATTTGAGTAGGATAAAAGTTTTTGGCTTTCAATGTTAGACTCATACACAATTTGTTGATTTAGACTATTCTCTGCTCGAAAAGAAAAATTAAACTCGGATAGAAAAATTACTATGAAAATGAGTGTGTAATATTTACAACTAGTAACAAATTTGTTTCTTGCCCAATATTCTAATTTGCCAATGAGTACGATTGAACACTTTATTTGCTGTCTGTATTCGTTAGTTTTTACAAGTAAATTAACTTATCACTAGTATATGAAATTGATTTTGACGCGCGCAAAGTGATGCATCGTAGAACACAATTATATTCAACTCCTGTTTTCTTGTTCCATGAAAATGCCGTTGGCTATAAATGAGAAAAAATTTTTTTTTTTATTTAAAAACGACAATCTATTTCTATACACAATTTGCAATGTTAGATGAAAACAGAAAAAGAAATTTTCCTATCGTTATAGAAGATACAATTAGACATTAATTGAAATTTTAAAGAAAAAAAAAAAACTTTCTTCTACTAACAGTCTTACTGTTAATGTTGATATATTTAGAGCAAAATCAAAAAATGGTGGACGATTATTACGTGAAAAATTGGAAAAGATTGGCGTTAATCTACCTGCTGGACGAAGGAAAGCGGCACAAACAACATTGCTCACATCATTAGTAGAAGGTAATACAGTGTGCATTTTATCAAAATGATAATGATTTAGATTGATCTAACAATTAAACTCTAAGATCAGTATAAACATGAATATCAATAAACATTAAAAATGAATCTAAATTTATTTCTTTAACTCGAACTAAAATTATCAACATGAACATGTCGTGCCATTAAGTGATGCTTTAGTTAATGAAGTTAATAAGAGTTGATGATAGAAAGACGAGTCACGCTACGGTAGAGTGTAGTGTGATACACATCTAATTATCTTTAATATTTTCTTCCGGGGTATAAGATAAGAGATACGCAACGTTTGACCTCTTGATGACTCATGGAAAAGTCTCGTTATTCTTATAAAAAATATGATAAAATAACTAAATCAGAAATTAGTTACTTCTTTTAACGGAGTCTGATGCGCCTTGAACATGAATAGTATCAAGAGATTGTCACGATTAATAAATCTAATATATACACAAGGCATATACTGTTTTTCTTTATTATCTAGGTGAAGCTCATCAATTGGCAGTCGATTTTCGAAATGTGTGTGAAGCCGATTTTCCTTCAAAAGTCGCTGGAGAATATGTTGCTCGACATCATATTGATCCAAACGAGATTGGAGCAAGACGAAATATGATTTTAGCTGCAAAGTATGTATAATTTAAATTAATTTTTTCATAATATTTTGACTATAACTTCGCATTATTTTTACTAGACAAATGACAAAAGAATTTGTCGATATACTCAAACAAGATCGTTCACCAGTTAATATTTCACCCGCACAATCACAATTACGACACTCTAATTCTATGTTAGAATCATCTGTTCAACGTGCATTGACAACATTTTCATTAATTACGCATGGTTTTGGAGCGCCAGCATTAACAGCATCATTAGATGCATTTCAAAATTATTTAACTGATCAACTTAAATACTATGATAAAAATTTTCCCATGTTACTTAATAATAATTCACCCGATTTATTAGCAACAACAACATCCTCATCCTCATCAACACCATCAAAATTAGATATCAAAGAAGATTTGTGAAAATATATCGTTTTTTTAATACAAAAACTAATTCATCAGTTTTTATGGTACGGTGCTATAGAAATATCCTTGTGCAATAATCTCGAAATATTCAAATCCATTATTTTTTTTTTTCTTACACATACAAACAAACAAGATATCCAATACAATGTTAATTAAAACTCCTCCGATAATAAAATGAGATTCTAATGTATTATTGTTGTACGTTGAACATTTTTTTGTTTTTGTTATTTTTACGCCTGTATTTTTCAAAATATAATAATAACAAAAAAGATTTGATTGGTGTACCATAGATACGAGAGTTTATATAGAAACTTTTTATCGAACTACTAGAAAAGAATTTTCTCATGTTTCATATATTTTCAAAATTAGCATTTCATATGATGGAATGATGAATATTGCAAAATAGTAGAAGAACATAGTGTTGAAAATTTACACAGCAATCAGAGTGTTAAACATTTTCAACTTACTAAAAGCGTTTATAAAGTGTCACCGTGATTGCAGTGCAGAAGCTAAAAGATTACCGGACTCAACTCAGACTTGGTACCTGCCCGGACTCGCCCATCCCTGCCACAATCCGATTAGTATGTCTCAATGGCGCAGACTACGACAATTAAAAATCTACATGTAATCTGAAACTTTTTTCGTATGCTATCTCCTCTGAATCTGAATCCATATGGTCTACATCAGTTAATATCAACTCTATTCAACTCAAAAGTGAATTATTCGGAATGTATCCACTACACGTTTGTATACCTTCATCAAGTTGAAAACTAGCTTTCTATGGTTTTATTTCTTTTGCATGAGAAGCGTGAAATTCATTTGGCTTCATCGCCCACTTCTTTCTTGAAACCTTCTTAGTAAATAATCTTCCTGATGTATATATATATCACATGTCGTGTCCACCTTGTGCCAGATGTCTTTTTCTCTCTACTACTTTCTCATGCATTCTCCTCCTTTTTTCTTTTTTTCTATAAGATTTAATGAAGCGCGATAATGCTTCTTGAAAATAAATGGAAACACAGGTTATCGATCATTTTATATCTTGTGGCAATGTTAGTTTTTGAATAAAAAGATCAGTGGAACGATTAGAAGTTTGTACTGCGGGAAAATACACAAATTTAGCTGTCTTTGAGATGTGTAATGTGTGCATATTTTGCTTAAAATCACCTGACAACAATTGAAAATTTTAAAGAATATGATATTATTCGCAGATAATTGTAAACTCTATGTTTTTCTCAATATTTTTGTATATATGATAACCAGAAACTCATTTGACTAAATGTCAACAACTAATGATCTTTGTGTCATCCGTGCTACAAATTTTTCTATCACGTTCTATCAATTTTTTTATTCAAAGTATCTGCAAAATGCATTATATTTTTGAAATAGATAGTGATACCGTACAACATATAGGAGAAAGAAAAATATCGCCCAAAGGCAGCTGAAATATAGAGAAACTTTCTTTATAATGCACCTCTGCATTGAGCAGGTACTTTGTCAAATTTGACTTACTTTTTGTTAGAAAATCTATCAGTAATATATATAATCAATAATCACTACTGTAGTATTTTTTTAACTGATGATTACTCAATTGTATAACAATATATACACAAGTTTTGTAGGATCCCGGAAGAATGCTAGAATGGAATCCATTGATAATAAAATGCTAATGTTCTTAATCGAGGAGCAGCCTTACGTATCTATTACGGGTATTATTTTGGGATAATAAAAGAGAGTGAAAATGCGAGGACAAATAACTTCATGGACATTTCTCTGGAAATGGCTTCAAATTACTGTTTTATCAAATTCTAGAATAGAATGTCCTTGTAACAAGTGTGAGATTGGTATAAATGCTCACAGAATTCAACATTTATTAAAGATTTTCAAGCTGAAATGGATTAGTTCTCGTACTTTACTTTTATTGCAGTCTAAAAAATAAAAAGTAACTTTTTGCCAACTTTTCTGATACTTTTTTTAGCAATTAATTATTCACTTTTATTCTATAGAGATAAACTGATAAAAGTCAGCATGCTTGAATAAATAGCTATTCATTCACCCAACTAATACGCTTTCTATATGAGTTTACGAATCAAAGTGACCGACATGACTATAGTTTAAAAAAAACATTGTATGTATTTTCCAAGCAGGCACTTATATGGGCGTACAATGTTTGTATTTCTTCTCAATTGAGTTTTCGGTAGATTCTCGTGTCTCAAAAATATGGATTTCAAAACTGAGATCAAATGAAATTGTTCTTAAGAGAATAAGAAACTTTATCTTAATTCTTTTTTTTCACATCTCATTTTTACTCCTTAATCATGAAGGTATTCATTTTTTGATATGGATCTTGGGACCATCCATAAATTCAAAACGATATCTTAAATAAATACAGTACACATGCACTTTATAAAATTATGGATAATCAGTCTCATCAGTTTAAAGAAGTATAAGATGATTCTCAACGTAGGAAGGGGAGAGGAGCTATATCCACCTATACAGTATAAATACATGCTCTAAAAGAATGCAATAATATTGGAGCTATCTAAAAATCAGCTTAGACAGGATAGTATGAGCGCTTTTGAGATGATGAAGAGGAGTAAACCCTACATCAATATATCAAAATGGTATAAAATAGACCATTTTTACTCTCATATTATTTCATCAATATGTAGTAGATAATGTGTAACACAAAGATTTTAATTTTAAAAAGATATAGACAATCTTTTGAAATGAAAATGAGAAATAGGAATACGAATACAATATGATGAACAATAATAAATAATAAACATTACTTTATTTCATATGAAATAAGAAATTGTTTTTTATTAAGTGATAAATGCATGTTTATATTGTCATTTCTCTTATGTTTGAGAAATAGATAAAAAATACAAGGACGGAAAAAAAAAAAGATCAAAAAAAAAAAATTTGATGGCAATTATTATGGAATGTTTCAGAGTAACGGCGATCAACTAATGAATCAGGCATTGATTAATAATTAAATAATATATTTATAAAAGAAAGTATGACGGAATAAAAAATAAAATGGAATGAGATTTTGATGTATATATCTATATTAATCGTGAAAATACGAAAAAGACGTGAAAAATTTTTTCTTGTCTATCCTGAGAATTCATTTTAAAAATAGTTCAGTATAACGAGATATTAATATTTCAGTAAATGTATTTATAAATGACATATTAGCCAATGTATTATCCATAGTATTCTGTGCCCAAGCTAAATTTGGACCAAAAACAATTGCTAAATTGGATGCAGTCATTAAATTTGTATCCGAATAACTTGAGATCTAAAAATAGAATAAAACAAAAAAAAAAATACAATAGATATATTAATATGAAAATGATTCAATAATATCATAAAATATTGCTACTTACCAAATTTAAAAATTCAATAATATATTTTAATATTCGATAATTATTTTCCGGTAATTTTTCAATAATTAAATCACGAATTATTTCAACTTGATTAGGACGATTTAATGCTAGAAACAGTGAGATAAAATAGAAAAATAATATTTAATAAATTAGAAAAAGACGAGATTTTTTGGAAATACTACGTCAATAAACTCGTTTAAATGAATTTTGTTGCAGTTTTAGAAGAGCAGAAGGAGTTAAGAATATTCCAATGGAAAGTGTTTGATTGCATCTAAAAACACTACGTACACCTATATGCTAGAAATATTTCTATTTAGTAAGATCGTGAGTTCGCAGAGTGATTTGAGTTTGAAAACATTTTGAGAGGCGTTTTTTCTTTAACTTTCACATGTTAAATCAAGTAGCCAAGCAAAAGTTTTCTCATTAACCATTCCAGACAACTTGATGAAAAAAATCTTGTCTAGAATATGTGTGACAACTCTTTTGGGGCACACAAGTAATCATTTTCATCGCAGAAAGTTTTGCTTCTAAACGAGACTACTTTTCCCGTCGCAGTAATAGTTTTTGACGAAGTTTACTACTTTAAAAATATTAAGGGTTCCCCCCCCCCCCTCAAAAAAAAGCATTTTTCGACAAAAAAATCGCTTTGGACATTTATGCATAGTTGTATAGCCTAATATATCTGCTCTCGAATGCACTATGATTTATTGGTTTTACGATGGTTTTTGAGGGTTTTACAGCGGTTTTTCTGAGGCACCCAACA